ATGTCCATTATTTGATGGACGAAAGCTGAGCCCGTTTCGCCCGAAGCGAGTGAGGATGTCTCGTGGACTGCGTCAACCCAAACGCCGTATTAAAACCAACAGGCTGCAGTACAATGCGAATCAGTCGTGGTCTTCTAGTGAGAAATTGATGTCTCAACAACAACGCGATTCTCACACTTGCAGCCCATTTAAATCTGTCTAGGATAGACCAACCCTGTCTCATAGAAGTTGTTTGACCTTGTTTTCCCAACTCGGTCATATTTGGTAGGAAGACTCATTGGAACGCACCTAGTCCGGGGTCCATTGTCTGCATGATCATTTCCAAAGTTGAACCGTGGACGTGGAACATTAGCAAACGTTTCGCCGGCATCGTCAGTGAGTATCACCATCCTAAGCACAATACAGCTACTCGTCAGAGACAAGTGAATCCGATCCTTAATGTTGTGGTACCGCTTGTTTGGTAAGATTCAATGTTGAACCACAACGTTTGTGGGTTGGCCCACAAGAGACTAGGGCATGGGAAGTCATAGACTTGGTATTCGAGATAGAAACAGAATAGACGCGGCGGCGACGGGAGCTAGTGGGCTGACAGTAGGTTTTATAAGAGACGTGGTCCATATGGCAAAGGTGTGACCATGACACTTACTCAGAGGCTTGAGCCTCGAATTAGTCACCCAGACGCAGAGGAGGGGTAATAACACCTCGACTAGCAGATAGAGAGAAATACTTGAACCAGAGAGATCGCAGATGGATTATACGGCGAAAGAGACTGTGGTAAGACCTAGGGAAGGAGGACTGCGTAACAATATGGCAGAGTGTGATCAACATTATCAGCACAACGATGAAGGGGGGTGAGAAGGCCAGTGTGGACTGCGGATGGTTCTCATAAAAGCCGCTCAAAAGGGCACACCGTACCACATTTAATTAGGCGAAAATAATTGTGACAGTGAAGGCGTGATAGGAGGATATAGGAAATGTGAATAGGCCAGGGCAGAATGGGAGATACCATAACTCTTTAGCACACGTTTGGTCAAAGGACCGGCTTCACTTGTCTCCTTGACAAGTTGTGTATTGCGGTGCTACGAATGGCAAAACTCACTGACGACGCCGTTAAAACGTCTGGGAATGTACCACGTCAACGGTCCTACTCTGGAAAGGATGATGCATACAATGGATTTCTGACCAGGTGCGTTTCTCTAAGTATTCCTACAAACATGACCAAATTGAGTAAATAAGATGAAACAACTTCTATACAACGAAAGGAGACTTCGACCACACAAAAGGCCACACCATCTCAGTCTTTATACCCTCGAGTAACTAAGCCTATCTATGCAAAATAGAGCTCCATTTAGGATAAGTTATAATCCCTCGCTGACCTTTTATCTCCAATGTATTTGTTAAACTGGACGTCCTCAGTCTGGAAAGAGTAGACATCAATGAGCGTTTAGGACCTGTCCGTTCGATCCCAGGTTTATTATCTTGGATGGCTCGATGTTCACTGTGGCCAAGCATGGTTTGACAAAGAAAGACAAACGGAAGTTCAGGGTCCAGATAGTATTCAGCCAGTGAAAAGTCCGAAGTAGTGTTCACCTTATTTAATAAAAAGAAGAGAGTCCCCATAATAAATAACAGGCATATTTTATGCTGTTTTGAAGCATAACCATGCCATTTCAAGTAATAGTAATGGAAGCATCGTTATCCACTAAATTGTAGATATTGAAGTAAGGCTTTTATGGTTATAATGAAAAATTCCTAGTAGAAAGCTGACCTGCAAGTGAAATAAAACTTGTTCGTAGATCGTATTTATAAGCCTAACTGAGTGTTAGCAGTTCGGAGTAAAATATATTTTATTGGATCTAAATAAAGGCTTAAATAAAAAAAAATTATCAAGCAAGCTGCAACTTGCTGAAAAAAATTTTGCTATCAAAAATATTTTTATAAAATTAAGACAACTAATTCAGATTAAATCAAAATGATTTTGACCTACTTTAGAAACTTAACAATGATTAAAAAGGACACTTTGAAAAATGTATCCCCTATTAGGCCTTTTGCAAATGTATTCATATCTTGGCTCAGCATCAGTTTTTTGAGCAGGTACAATCCTAGACGTTTCGCCAGTATGAACAGAGAAGAGGTATGATCAGCATCAAGCAATACTTCATCAGAATAAAGTTCTGGGAGCAGTGCTTCTCATTCAGGATTAGGTCGATGAGTGGTGTACAGTCAGATTCTGGAATAACAAATGACTATAATAGAAGGGAATATTATGTTCACAATGGAATGGATGTTCTGCTCATTAGAGAAGAGGATAAATTGAGAAGAGATTTTTACAGGAAGCCAATATGTATGTTGGTTTCTGAATTTTCTTGCCAACCATGTACATTCACAGCTAGGGGTAGGTTTCTCGAAGTGAGCGAAAGCACCCAAATTGGGCAAACGGGACAAAGTTGTATATGGAAAAACTGTGTTTCAAAGAATCCCTCAATAAATTGATGTTGAAAATGACTTTCGTTTCGTTTGAAGAGGCAAGTGGAAGGGATTCGTAAGTTGGTTCCATCGGAGGCTGTAGAGGGATAGTCTTACAGCTGTGATTGTAGATTTGTGCGAATAAGTCCTCGGTGTAGAGCTCTGCGACCCCGATGAATCCTTGCTGAGATTTGTCCGTCATGTGACGGACATCCTCCAAGCATGACACCATTCACCACAAAAACCAAAGCAACAAAGGTGGCCAACTTCAAACCTACTTCCTCCTTCTTATAATAGTAGAGCTTACTTCCATTTCGAGTGAAAGTGTTTGGTGAAGAGATTCGAAGGTCGATTTCACCAGAAGACGACGATGGATTCCTCTTAACCAGCTGTCGATTAGCTTTACTGGAACATTTATGTTAACGCTATTTCGGAGGTAATCTCCTTCGATTCTGATGAAAAGATGCTCAACTTTCGTGCGTCATATGACGAACATCATCAGAACAAAGCATCATCGTTACAACCAAATTGAAGCAGACGAGCCGCCTGCAAAAAGGAGACGACTGAACTGGTCTTTTCTTACTTTGGCAATAATCATAGTCACTTCTATGTATTTTAAGCCCACTCTTTCTCTCCCGCATTAATACCAAAACAAAAATACTCATCAACATAACCAGACGTGTGTCCGACCTTTGGCAATCGGAGTAGAAAGAGAGAGATAGTGGTCATCAAACGTTGATGCTCTACTAAATGTTTTTGAGCCATCACTGTTGGTTTCGTGCATAAGCGAACACAAACAAGCACATACACATACAGAGGCAGACACACTCATCACAGGCTTCGAGATTGACATGACTGTAACCGACCAAATCACTTTGTACTTCATTAAAAAGGCCAAATTTCGAGTATATATACCACTTTGTAGGGATTGCCGGTGAGTTTTCTCGACTCGTTAGCTGGAATTTGGTTGTAACGATGATACCTTACTCTGATGATGTTGGACGAAAGCTCAGCACCTTTTCACTGGACTCAAATGAGATTATCTCGGAAACAACGTCAACATAAATGTTCCAATAAAGCCAATCGACAGCAGGTCATGAGGAAACCGCTGTCGTATTCTGGTGGGATCGACCTTCGAATCTCTTCATCAAACACTTTCACTCGAGATGGAAGTATGCTCAACAATTATGAAACAAGAGAATCCTCGAAATCCAACTTTTTTTCCTTCCTATAGTCCAATTTGGTCCACATAGGCGTCTAATGTTTTGGTTGAATGTCCTATGCTTTGCCTAAATGTTTGCTCAAAAGTTGAATTAAGTGGCTGCGGATGAAGCGTGAAATGGGTGCAATTGAAACCGAACAGCTACATCCTCCCCTCAATCACTTATTCCTTTGAACCTGCGATCTTACCGCATGTGATTGTGTCCCATTGCAAGCGTGTCGTGTGAATGCACTGCTCTTGAAATGAGTGTGATGTGAGAGTCAAAACCAGGTTCCAGCCTAATCAAACCTCCTTCTCTTGCTCAGTGGTACCTCTCGTTCTCCCCCCTCTCTCTCTCTCTCTAAACCTATCCAACAGCCACAAGTGGTTTCCTGTCAACTATCTACACTCATTTCTTCTATTCCGAATGTTGGTTGTTTTGTTGCTTCCTATCGCTTACTGGTTGGTACAGTCCCCATGTCCAGCTAAGCGTTTGGCATTAGACCAATTTAGTTGGTGTCCTGTGCGAGCCGTGTATTCGGCCAATTCCGTTTTTGTACCCACATACCTTTGCAGCAGGCTGTTTTGTGTTCAAGTAACCTCTTATGTATGGGCCTGCAGCGCTCTCCCACATAGGCACTACCGCATGAGCACAAAAACTTCTAGCAGCCCGGTCAAGAGAGTATTGTCGACAAGAAAGCAATACCGATGACAATGTTATTTTTTTCTTTATAAATGGTCCTGATGTCCCACCTCAGCAATTCGCCTGTCTTCTTCGACCGATTACACAATGACAGTGATCTAACTTTTTAGCTAGCCCCCTAAATACATTTCTCTCCATCCCATTTGACAATCTTCTCAAATAATTGTCAATCAGCCCTCGTGCATAATTATTCTCGACTTGAATTTTCCTTAGTCTCCTCCATTCCTGGTCCCGATGTGTAACATCTGCCAGACGCAGACTCCTTATTACCATAGATTTAATAACTCCAACTTTAGCTCCATAAGCGTGGTTGGAGAATAAATTCAAAAGGAAACCTGCATTTGTGGGATCAAGTGGCTCTATAAGAATTTTTGATTTCAACTAAGTGACCAGGGTTTTTTGATTAATTAAACTAGTTTGGCGACCTAAAACTTAAGTAATCGATCAAAAATAAAAATGTGAAATCCTTTTTAGTTTAGTAGAGACAGGTGTAGGTCTTACTTGAGTCAAGAGGTGGGCAATATGGTCAAAGAAATCAGATTTCGTGTAGAGTGCATATGATCCGATAGCCGGTGGGTAGGGAAGAGTTTCATGTGAGGGATCCCAATCTTTGAAGAAGAGATGAGAGAAAGCAATTCGCGCCTCTAAACTGTAGGCCACATGCGAAGTATTACTGAGACCGAATATGACCAACTGAATCGAAAAATAAGAGAAAAGACATTTTTAAAATTAAAATGCGTAATCGCAGATAAACTCGGAGAGTAACGGGGCAAGATAGCTAAACATCTCGTCACTGTAAAATCACTGGTAAAATTGAAAAGCTAGAAGGTTAATCAGTAAACCTTGACACGAGATTCTTTCCGTTGCAGTTAAAGCGGTTAAAAGCTTATATTATAAGTGCTAAAGTTTTGTACACAAAAAAAAGTGAATTGGCCTTACTTGACAAAAGAAGTTACCAACGTCTCCTCCAGGTCCATAGTCATTTGGTATTTTAGAGATAACTCAGCCAGTTCATTAAAAAATTCGGATCGCCAAAGCGACCAATTATATTAAAATTGCTCACGGAACATTTGAGGATTGTTGATGCAAAGCCCTAATAACACATTTAAGTGCTGTTATTATGACTGACAGTTTGTATAGCCTAGATTGTGGTCAATGTAGGCGATATATAAAGCTTACTCAATGGCTACATAATACTTGTGATACAGTATACCAAGCCAGAGTCTTACCTAATTAGTCTATTTGGTTGTTTGGCGCAAATAGGGGCTAATACGAGCGATATAGTTAAATCAATCGTATTAGAGCAAAACAGAAAGATCAACTATAGTTTTTCTCACTCCAATAACATCGGTTTTGCATTTTCTTGGCAATTCGATCCAACACATTGTATAAACTAAGTATTTCACATCAAAACTATCAAATATTCCTGCATTTAATACTTTCAATTTAAAGAAAGCAAGTGATTCTTTTTTTGTGTAAAAACGAAAAAGCGAATGTGGACACATTTATGAGAAAGAAAGTTAGTCACTGATAATTCGCCTTGGCAAAGACTGCATTGATAAAAGTTCGAAATCACAGTAAGCCTCAAGTTTCCATTGCATTTCACCTAGCTTTGCTTCTCAAAAGGATGGACTGTAGTTTGGACCTCGCCTGGTCTTCATCAGCACCCTCTACGGGACGCGAAACGAGATGTTGCGGAATATAGTCTAGACATGTTAGCCACTATGCGATCATGCCCGAGTACCATTAGGTCAAAGAGGAGAGGTGAAATTTAATGAAAACATAAAGCCTACTCATATGATTTTGGGAACATTTAACTACCAGCCCCTTGCTTCCTAAAACTAAACAAAGTGAACACGGCTTAAATATAAGATTTATTAGTAGTATCGAGACCCAGTTATAAACGGAAAATAGCCAAATATTGTTTGATTAAATAAGCAAGTAAACTAATAAAATATAAGAGGTAATAAAGGGGAATATCAATATAAAGTCAGCAGGGCAAAACAAGAATTCGTACATATTAACGTAAGAATCGATCATAAAAGTAGGGATATTAAAAAAAAATATCGCATGGCATTTTAAGAAACTAAGGTCAGAGTTCATCGAAATCACTGGAGGCGATATCCCAAACAATTTTCGAGACAGATGCAAATATAAAGAGGCTGTAAATAAATAAACATGAATACAAATTAGCCTATAGGCCTAGAATCTTGACAATAAGCATAAAGTCTAGTAAAGAGGGTAAAATAAGATCTCTTAAAAAGATAACAGCTAGCATCTTGAATAGAGGAAACTATTTTGCAGACTGGATCGGTCCGCTACTAGCCAATGGCTTTTCCTTCACAAAATCATAAAATCTTTTATCCCTTCAACTGAGCTAGGTCTCTTTTAATTACTGTTCAGGTGTGTCAAAGCCATTAATCTAACGGACAAAAATTATTCCCACCCTTCGAGTATGGGACTGGGAGTCGTCGGAATCACAAAGTAATAATGACACTTGCTACACAGT